CTAGAGAATGTGATATCTGTGTATTTCACCCACTTTGACGTTTTTCTGTGAGACAGCTGACCTTAAAATAGTGTTCGGAAACAGTAGAAACATATTTCGATTTAAAAGTCTAAGGATATTTTAGTGCTACTTGTTATAGTCTTTCTTATAGACTATTCTATATTCTGATATGTTGGGGAATCAAAACCGTTTTATCAGAAGAGCAACGTAAAGGAGTCATTACGGATAAAACGTTTTTGGTAAATTGAAAAATATATTATGAGGCTGTTTAGGCCTATGTATTTTTTTATTAGGCTATTGATAATTAATCCACTTACATTAGCATGCTTTAGCGAATGCATGATTAACGATCATCTTAAACCTAAAATCACCTAAGAGTTGGATTTTCTTGATTTGGTCATAAATGAGCACATGCAAATCTGTCATCATGGAGAATAATATGATAACGCACGAGTAAAGGCTAGGTATAAATGAATGACAACGAAACAGTTTGCAAATGTGTAAAATCAACCTTTAATGGCAAAAACAAAGAGAAACTGTAGATTGTATTTGTCTTTGGCTCTTTGTTTCGGTTTCTTTTGTTCATTTATGATAGAGACTGAATACAGTTAAATAGCTACTTTTTACAAACAAATTGCCTACATGATAGCAAATGAGTGATTATTAGTGACTGCAGCGACGTCTAAATAAACATCATTTGACGTTAAAATTTGAACAAAAATAGTAACAATTAAACCCAGCGATATATAGGCTAACTACATATAATCTATATGGCTGTAGAATACGCACTTGTAAAATTAGATTAGATTGTATTAAATAAAATGTAGCCTATCGTTTTATATCGTTTTCTCCGTCTAGACGATAAAATAAAATTGTTTCTGTAGCCTACAGCAGGGCGACAAGTTATCTCTGCATTTTAAATAGATAATAATGGTAACCAGTTAGTGGCAATTCAACGCTGCATCGAGTATCTTGAGACTTTCATTCTATACCTTTAGACTTCAAAAACATGGAGAATAGGACTGTCTACATAAAACTTACACAATTTTATAAATTCTTTGAAATCATTTATAATTCTTTGAAACTATTTATATTTATTTGTACAGAAACGTAATTGTTTAAAGCACCTGATACGCGCTTGATAAAGAGAAAACTCACCGCCAGGGGTCGCTGATGTCAAGACTGTAGTTTGCACGTTACATGTCCAAAATTAAGCGTTGGCAAAACTTAGGCTACAGGATAACATTAGTGTCCACATATCATATGCTATGCGATTAGCTACAGCATTAAGGATAGCAAAACATCTCTACAAGCAGTAGCCTACCACACAAATCTTAAATATTAAGATGTAATCAGTAGACCAATTAGTTGTGTAGGCTAATGTAACATGGAGACTGGTGTCAAATTGAATGATAATCAGAGAACGGGTATTTTTAGTTATTCTCATTAATCCTGTTTGCAATTTTATGATGCCAGTCTACAAAACCCCCTTGAGCCAGAAATGCGCTCTTCTGCTGTTACTTAAGGTTCATTGTCTGGTTAAAGTCCCGTTTAGTGCTCTACAGGTTCAAATCAACACAGTAAGTGCTGTAACAGGGGTATGTCCAAACACTCACAGCCGCAGGGCAAGAGACACCTCGGTCAACAGTCACAGGACATTCATTTAACCCAAGTGACCTTTGTGAATGAAGAGAGCGGACTCTTCACTTAAACACACTTCATTACGCGTGTAGGGGTCAAGAAAATAACAGCATTTAGTCTCCATCTGAATTCTCTGTCGGAATGGACATTCTGCCTTCAGACATCTAAGATGCACACATGTATTTTTTCTTTGCTGATTGATTATAAATTGACACTCGCGCGCGTATCCGTGTTGTAAAGTTATTCTAAGAGGCAGCATTATAAAAAGAAGATTGATTTAAAATTCACTTTTAAAAAACGATATTGTAGCTTAATAGTCATGCAAGAACAAGTAATAATAGTAATAATAATAGTCAGGCTACAGTAAGAATTGGTGTTAATAATGTTATATATAGCTATTGTATACTGACAGTAAATAAATAATTTAAAACCAACTGAGGTGGAGAAAAGTGGAGAGTGCGTGTTTGAAATATTTGTCCAAAATGCAATTTTAATTTTAATGCGTAAAGGGAATATAGACTGTAGTTGGCCAATCAGAGCAAGCAGTTGCAGTGGATTTCAAGAATTAGTTATTTATAGCTGACCAGTTTCCATCTAGTTCGCGCTTTAAAAGGTTTATTTCTGTCTTCCCGTGTTTCTTTTAAAGTTAAAAACTTATATATTATATAGCCTATAATACAAGCCATAAGGTTTGAATTAAGGCAAATATTGAATCAAGCCGAAATAAACTGTCTGTAGCAATGCAGGAGCTAAAATATCTGCTGTCAGCAATTTGTAATGTACTGTAGTTGTAGCAAATGCAACAATAAGAAGTGTACCTTTTTTTGATGTATTCTGTTACGTGTTTTAATAATAAGAATTCCTAATGCAACAGTGGTCATCAGAGACAGAGAACAAAAAGGAAACGGGAAATATTTACATCTGCTGTCCCCCCCCCTTTTTTAAATATAATTTTCTCCTAAAAAAAACTGTATATGGTTATCATATATATTTTTAAAGCACGATTGTACTTAAACTCTCGTATTTTGTATTTTCCATTTAGACCCTTAATCGGCTTTATTGGATTACAAGGATTTTTTTTTTCATCGGTTCCAGAAGCTTCAGTACTTGGGGACAAATAGACACATGATAACAGAGTAACAGATTGCAGTCACAGAGAGATAAACGTATAGTGATTTACCATGTAAAGGTATGTACAAAATTGAAATGATAAAGCCGACTTACTTCTACAAAGTTTTATATTTTGAATTTAATAAACCTAATCATTTTAAAAGGCAAATGTTTTAGGGCAATGCTGAAACTATAGGCATAACTTGATTCATTTTAGGTTACTATAGGAACTCTGCAACCTATATGCGACGCTCTGTCGCGCGCGCACTCAGCAAACCATGGAAAGCGCGCGCGCAAGAGAGAGAAAGAATGGGGAGAAAGGGAGCGCGCGCGTGGGATTGTGATTGGCCGCTCTGCAGCCTGCTGCTGGAGTGACGTCACTGCAGGAGAGAACTGCCAGAGGAGGATGCATTTAGTCAGAAACTACACTCTCTCAAGCCGGAGAGAGAGAACATCGCATGCACAGAGCGCAGGAGGGAAGGGAACGAGAGCATCGCATGCGTGCGTGCTTTCATAAAGTAACCTCGCATCTCCTCTCACGTCCACGCACGAACACTGTAAGCATGCTTTTCAAGGGAGGAATTCCCCATCTTGGAAATTAAACTGCCTGTTCCGTTCTCTGGATGGCTGAATACTCAAGGACTGCGAGTTCTGAATGGAAAACGCATCACTGAAGAGATGCACTGAAGAGTTGGGCTTTTGACTAGATGCTTCTGCGCTGCTCAGAGATTTTCGCGTCATGTTCTTTAACGCGAGACGCACGGGAACCTCTATTTGTCCCCGACACACGGCCACTCGTAGCTTACTTTCTGACAGAGAGGAATATGCACGTCAATTGTTAAAAGTAAGCTTTTTAAAATTACCTCAGTTATTTCGTAGCACAGCTTGAATCACTGAACTGTTTTGGTCACAATAGCTCTTAGTAACTTAGTAGTCTGTAAGTGTACTTTAAATGATAAATAAATGCATATTTGCAAAAATGCATGCATATATGATACTAACATTTTACGTGGTTTGCTTATAACTGACCCCATGTGACAGACAAGGCCATGTTGAGTGGTAAGTGCATGTGGCCCTCTGTACTTTGTACACTCACAGCAGGTGCATCTGGAATGTCTGGAACATTTTCATGAAATATGTAGCGTGTGTATCTTTAACAGTAATATGAATAGGCGACATAGTATCTACATAACCCAAGAAGCCATTGTTTAGTCATTTTGGATTACGTACACTACTTGTAGCCTATGTTTGCAGTGCTTTAGCCCTTTTGAAATTAGTGGCATTCGATTTGGTAAAGCATGTTTATTGCACTACTCTTGTATAGAATTATATTTATAAATAATTGATTTTAGTCTATTTGCTGACATTTTGCTTAATGCATGTTTACATAAATAGCTTTTATAATACAATACAGTTTGCATATACTTGATGAAAAAGCGTAATAATTTGTATAATTTAGAAATAACACCAATGGAATTAACAATAGATTGAACTAAATGACGTCACATTTACGTGAGGGAAACGTGGGTTTAGTAGACACGTTTTGAACAGTTAGGAAACGTCTGCATAGTTTCAAATGAAAAACAGAACCGTTGAACTATATTTAACATGCGTCCCTGTAAAATAAAAGTGACATAATATTAACTTTATAAGCTATTTGGGTCTTATTTCTCAATTGCATAATTTTGGAGGAAAACTGTTAAAAAACATTAAACTGTTGGCTAAAAGTCCTTACCCACTGCAGTTTGCGGAATTCGAATGCACGAGATGAAGATGAAATGATGCATGGTGATGTAACTGTCTGATTGTTGGGGCCTAACGAGCCAGATGAAATGGTTAGCCCTAATAATCGTCAATTTTTTAAGGATTATTAGTGACCAGAAGGGACAAAATCCCGTTTAGATGAATGGAAAGCCTGACAATAAATCCAAAGGCTCAATTTGAAACGCCTCCAGACCGCAACTTCAGGCCTTGACTATTGTGGATTATGTCTTCACCACGTGCTAGAGGTCTGGAGAACCTCATAAGTCCATTCAACACTTGACTTGTTAACAGTATTTACAGGTCTAGAAAAAGAGTGTGTAATTTGAGTGTAATTTATTTATTGCGCATTAACCCTGTTTTCGTTTATCAGGTCAACTTTATGAGATGTTCCACTTTTTTTTTTTTTAAGTGTTTACAGGAGGTAGTTGCTATCTTTGGTTATCTAGCTGTATGAGTGTTTATCTGCCTTCATAAAGCTAGATAACCGAAAGTAGAAACGTCCTCCTTAACTGCACAGTGGACAAGTTGGGAAGCAATGATCGCAGGGAACTGCATGAGGTAAGCAGGCCCTCTGCTCTGTGTGAGTCATCGCTGCAATGTAAAGTAATATGATCGTGCGTATAGGTCATAAGTAATGTTTCAGGCGTTATCATTTTAAATGCACCTTCGGACAGGTGCACGTTTGTGGACGCGTTCACTACTGCAACAATTTTGAAAACCTACTGTAGTGCCTTCGTTAAAAAAACAAAAGGGACTACATTTAACTTGTGTTGGAAACTATATAAAAGGGCTACAATTTAGCCTATAGTTTTACTTTTTTTTAAATAAATATTAAAATTGACGTTTGATTTACTTGAAACAGTTTTTTAAGTTATAGTTTGACTTCATTTCAGTCAGTTTTGATGTCAAATGTGTGATTTAGTTTGAGCAATAATTAAAAAGCTATAAAAAGAAAAAGCTTGATAAGGTAGTTAGTTTATTGTAGCCTATAAAAATATTTTAACGAGAAAATTGAAAAGGAGAAGAAACCCCAGCAAACTTTTACTGTTATTTAGGCTATAAATCACAATCGAGTTCACAGTTTTCGCGCAAAAGCTTTGTCAAGGATGCGCATTGTTAACTTTGCGTTGGATAAATTAATAAACTTCCTAGCTAGTTCCCAAACTCTGCCTACTTCAAACTTCAAACTATCTTTTCCTCACCCTGGCACACCCATTGCTGCTGTTACGCCTGCGTTTATTCAGCATCTGACGCGCAAAATGAGGCCTGCGTTTAATGCGCTTGAATCGGATCTCATAACTCGATCTTGGTTTGATCTAGAAGGGAAACCATGGGAATTTTACAACTAGTCGATCACTAATCGAGGTTAAATGAGGTTAAACTAATAAATAAATGAACGCTTAAATAGTGCGTTGAAAATCCCTCCTCTCAACACTCACACGATGACAAATAAGGATGTCTGAGATGATGAAAATGTGAAATCGTTTTTGTCACATGTCCACAAAATGGATTGCTTAGTGTTGGTGATGATTTAGTAGAAAAGGTTTTAAAATATTAAGAGTTAGTAGCCTACTATATAATCTTGAAATCTTAAATCACAAAAGAATCTCGGACTTTTAGTGAGAATTATTTTTTTTACGGTCTCTAGACAGTTAGGCTACATTGAGCCCCACAGAATATAGGCCTACTAATAAATTAATTATAAAAGATGCGTATAGGCCTATTTAAGATTTTTTTTTTAAACTGCATTTTAATGCATCAAAAAATGAACGTGACGTCATTGACCCACTCACAGAAACAACTATTAGGCAATGACATCATGCTGAAGCAGCTTCATTATGATTGGCCGTATTAATCTGGTTGTACACATCAAAGATGAAGACATGAAGCGGAAACGAATGCGGAATGAAGGCATTTTTTCATCCCTGTGGCTTTTTTATGACATAAGACGTAATTGTGATACATCACCCTTATACTACTGTAAAATTACTGAAAACGATGTAAATATTATGTTTATGTTTAGAGTTCAAAATCATTAGAGGTGTAAGCGCTTTTGGAGCTTAACGTCACGAGAAACACACACACACACACACACACACACACTCTCTCTCTCTCTCTCTCTCTCTCTCTCTCTCTCTCTCTCTAACGATGCTTTTCAGCAACTCTCGTATTAAAAATTAAGTTATATTGAATTAAGATATTTATTATAGTAACACAATATTAGAAATTTCTGAAGCAATCACGATTTAAAAAAATCTAATGGCGTGTGTGCTTCAAATTTAGGCCAATTTAATCGTACTCAATAGATTGCCTGACATATTAATCTTTGTTTTACTGCTGTATGGAAATAATAAATGCATATACTAAATACATAAGATGCATACTTTTATTTTCAGAGACAGAGAAAGAAAGGCGCTTAGGGTGCCAATTAAACTAAATGAAGAGAAGAGGAAATGATTGATAATTTCAACTTGAAGAGAAAAAAAGCAACTAACAAAGAGATGATAGAGAACAAAAAAGACTGAGCAGATTTTACATCCTCTATATTTGCCACTTTAAAAAAAAATGTTTGAAATGCCAAATATGATTTAAGGTGCAAATTAGGCCTTGCTTGAGCTTTTTTAACTCAGTGTTCATTATCTGGCTGTCGTTTATGTGTTTGTCAATTATATCAATAATTTAAATGTAAATCTAAAATATTCTGATGATCGTCTTTTATTACTTCACCTCACTGTAGCCTCTCAAACTGCAGTGTCTTTGTGAGAGACCAGAGGACTGGAGCTAAGGGGGAAAACACCATCTGGTAAGTGCAATCAAGGCGTATTACAATGCAACATTGTAATTAGAACAATTAGTTGTAGAGTTAATCTGATTCAAACACACAGTAAATCCTAAAGTATATGCTAATGAATGCATGCACTTGAAAGGAACCAAATGCAAGAGTAATCCCCAATCAAGTCCAAGACACTATATGCATGACATGAATCTTTCATCAGAAATCCTATATATCTGTTTCTCTCCTTCTCTCACCATATACATGCATATTCATAAAAAGCATTCTATTTGTGGTTACGTGACCTAGATCTGTGAGAATGTTTTCCTGTTTTTGCGTATGTGTGCATTAGAGTTTATTCCTCACAAATGTACACTCATCCAACCACCAGCCTATACGATCCTCATGCATTTTTTTTTGACAAATTGCATATATAAATGCATGTTGTAGATATTCAACCTTTAAAGACACTAATTAAAGTTTCACATTTGTACCAGACACCAACGAGCTCTTTAAAGTGCAAATCATAATCAAAAACCTTTTCGTAATTTTTCTATAGATGCATTTTGTGTTAAGCTGTGTGGCGTATGTTTATTTGAGAATTCAAATCATATCAGGCAGACGTGCAATTTGACACACAATATTAGCAAATGAATAAGAAAAGGACTCGCTATGGCTGTTAAACATAAAACAGCATAATTATCTCAAGAAATATCCCTCAAAGCATCAGGCATGACCTGTGTAAAAAGAAGGAAAATCAATCTAAATCACAATATATTTCAACATGCCTGAGAATCTGTGGTTCGTATGACTGCAGGACATTAGGCCAAAGGCTTCAATGCGATAAATGATCGGAGAGAGGAAATTATATGTCCGTCTCCATCTCGATAATGATAAGAATGTATGGGCCACTATCACATTGCATATTACTTTATGTAAAATTAATGTGAGCAAAGAAATTTTGTCATCATTCATTAACAATGATCTTTTCCAGCTAAACTGGTTACCTAGCACAATTGAATAAGGGTTATTCAATGGAATTATGGGTGGACAGTAATTGATGTGGGCCGATTCAGTATACCTTCACAGTGACCAATCGAGAACGCAACAGCAGGACGTTCGTGCCTTCGCACCATTCGTGTTGAGCTAACGCACAACTATTGACATTACTAATACCAGGATTGTCTGAACGTGCAGTTACTTAGCATGACACGAACAAGAAATGATGGTCGCCTGATACCGTTTATATTATCCAAAGAAATAATATATAGCAGTTGCCATGACATCTGCTTTGGCAGTGATAAAAGGGGCTTTTTGTCCTTTATTTTCGTGTTTCCCCTTAGCAACTGCCAGCCATTTACACTGGCTTTTTGGAGCAAGAGGGAGAGAGGAAAAAATGGTGCAATTGTCCAAATGAAAGAAAATAAAAATAATAGGCAACCCTCATCCTTCTTCTACCAGCTCCCCTCCCTTCTTCGTCAACGGAAGCATTTAGTGCCATCTGTGCCCCCGGAGAAAAGAGGAAAAAAAGAAAGGAGTGAGACTCTACATCCCAAGTGCCAATGGGGACAAAGAGGCTGCCAGTTGCCACGGACCACCAGATGCTGGAAGACTGCAAGTCTGAATGAGGGGTGTGCTTTCAGGAAGCCATCTTGATGGAGAAGCTGGCTGCTGCTCCCTAAAATGGCTGTGTTGGCATGAGGTAAGCTGCATCGATGCCTATATGAGACTAGCTGCCGCGTTATTGCCACTGCTTTTAGCTCCACCAGTGGGTTTGCCAGGTCGTTCGAAACGTAAAGAAAATGAATCGGGCGAATGCCTACTAGAAAGTGCTTTTTTGGCGGCGTGAGATTAGGCCCAAATCGTTTTCTTTAAAAAGAGCTATCATGCTTTCATCTTTCCTGACTAATTAGAAAATATCCCCGTTATCTAAATGCGCGCACTGAGATATGCACAAAGACTTTCTGATTTGTGGCGAGCTTTGAGCGCAAATGAATCCCTCCTGCTGCTGTATATGTATTTTCAATGAAAGCAGCTATTAATTCGTGCTCTTGACTGGAGGTTGTGTTATGTGTGTGTACAGGACGAAACCGTGCGACGAAACCCTCGGTTCAGCGACGACACCGAAATGACCATAGCAGATTTTCAGATGAAACCAAAAAGCGAGAGCTGCTTGAACTCACTCGAGAGACTAAGTTAATTGACATATGGCATCCTCTTGACCAAAGCAACAGAGTCAACCTGGACTGAAGAGCACTTTTGTTTCTGCTGATTAATGATACATCAAATTGCTGGCACAAAGGTGCCAAGTGCCCCTCACCAGCTTACAAAAGCACGCATGCTGCCCTGCCCAACTTTAATGTTAGAAAAGAGGTCTGCAGGCTCTCGCACTGTGCCGTGCTTTTAATGATGTTTGGTGTCTTTTAAAATAGCCACAGTTTGTATCATTAGCCGGTCAAGAGGCGAGAGGTGCAAAACATCACATAGGACGTTACGTGGTAAACGGATATGTACGCAGGCCGCCTGGTTGCAGAGAGCTGCGTGTTATGTCATTGAAATGGATGGAAGACACTGAAATGCACTTCACAAAGGTGACTGGTTGCGTCATAATGGATTGCTGGTGATATGCAGAGCTGTGCTGGTGTGTTCATTGCAGAAAATGATTACGATAGGTGGAACACAGGCATTCTGAAACATATTTGCTCTAGGATGACAAATTTGCTTTGCTTTCGTGCTGTAACCAAAACAACACAAACGAATAGAGCGTAAATACATCGAAACGTATTGAAATGCAAAGACGAGACAAATGATGCATCATCTGCTGAATATTTAAAGCCACTGAATCCTCCTCGTAATAACAGAAAACCGTTTTTGCATACTTACTGAGCATGGAAACCCTGTGTGCCTAAAAGACCTCGTTGTCCATAAATGAGCTTTTTTAAAAATAGACTGACATTTTATCCTAAAAGAGGAGGCTTGGCAGAAAAGCCCATCAAAATAGACGTGTAAAAAAGATCACTGATGTACGGAAGGTGCCCGTGGAGCTTACAAATAAAGGAAACAATGATGCAAGCGCCTCTGTTAATGAAAAAGACCAGACAAGCTCTGCATATTAACATAATTGCATAGGAACAAGCAGAGAGGACTGAGCCCCCAATTAAAGGCACAGTGGCACTTTAGCAACGGCACGTGGCAGCATTCTATATTTTGAATGTTTACGTTTAAATCTGAATTCCGATTTTTGAATTTCAAAGCAAAAAAAATACTTTGATGTTACTGTTGTGCTTGTGTTCTGTCTGCCTTTTTTTTTCCTTGCAGAGAATTCTACATGCATTCTAGAAATTTCCAGGGATACACACACACACACAAATGTACAATGCAAAAAATGTGTCCATTCTGAATCCAAAATATTATTTTTGCAATCTTTATTAAGCAGGAGCATTTGCTTTCTCAGTTTTATGAAAGACAAGAACAATCCATGTTCATATTTTTAAAGGAAATAGCCAAAGGCTGAATAATTTAGGACATTTTTTGAGCCTGTAATATATATAAAAAAAAAAGATTATGCTACAACACAAAGCTTCAGATTTAAGATTTAACACACCACATTTGTCTCAATTGATGTTGTTATATTATTAATATATGGAAATGGTTTCTCCATCTACATGCAGAAAATAAGACAGATTTTTCGAGATGATACAAAACTGAAGATTTACAACCCAAACACTCGGCATACATTTTAAACTCATGCTTGGACAAAATAGTAGCCTGGAAATGAGAGACTGTAGCTTTAATAGAGAATTTCTAATTAGGCTGTGTATCTTGCTGTGAGGGGGAGGGGTTTCCTCCCTCTGCATCTCTCAGGATTTTATGTAAAAGACCTTCAGTGCTTAAATATCTCACATAGGGACACAAAACTCATTATATACCCTTGAACAGAGAGTCTTAATGCAATACTGTTACACAACAACACTGCATTTGCCCAAATGGCGCATAATGGTAGCACAACCGTAGATGGTTTAACAGCAAATGTTAACAGCGTTTACAAACGTATAGAAGCAAGAATAAATGTTCACGTTTGCGTTTGTGTGTTCGTGTTGTGTGTGTGTGAGTATAAGCGGTCGAGCAGGGGGAGTGGATGCTTGTCAGAGCATAATGTGACTGCTGCAGAGCAGTGGCTGAAAAGTGTTAATTATGCCGCTTGGCACGGTGCCAAACCCATACCAGATTTTTCCAGTTTTCAATATGCAAATCATGCGCTGAACTGTGTATTGTTTTTGTGGTTTACCAGTTCTTTGTGATTTCAGTCAAACAGAATGCGCACATGAGTATTTGAGTTACTTTTTGCATAAAGCAAGCACAAAAGCTAGAGAATAATGCACTGTAGTGCTGTGAAATAACTCCAGTCTAAATTCATACAGCGTATATGCATGAATGGAATTATTTGAAATAAAATCGAATAATTCAAACTGTTTACTAATTTTTTCAAATTACTGTCTATAGCTTTCTCTCTGGTAGCAGTCCAACATAATGTGCTTTATGGAGTGGCATATGTAGATTTTAGGCATGACTGTGATTATATATTTTCATGGACTGCAAAGGGCAATTCCTTGAAATGTCTCCCAAGGTGTCTGGCACAATAATCACTTCAACACAAGGTCATTTGCATCTGTGTGTATGATGGAAAATGTGTTTTAGGGTCTGTGTGCAAGAAAGTCAATCAGTTTCAGAGTGTTTTTGTACACAACTTCTCCTTACACATATACAAGCATCAATAGCAATACCACAAATTTGTAATAAATAAGGAGCAAATCGTCAGCTGTAGGCTCTGTGTTGGTAAACAGTTTGATAGTGCCCACATTATTATTCCAGACCCCTCTCCTCTTCTACAATGGCAGCATTGTACGGCGAGTACTTGACGTGGGTCCGCGGTCCCCCCTGTTTCCCACCATTGTCTGTACGGATGAAGTGCCAGAGACAGTGGAGGGTAATAAGCTGAGAAAGATGCTCAGGCCCAGACAGAGCCAGATGCCTAAATTAGCACCAAAACCCTAAGAGACTATCCTCAGGGAACGGCTGAGGATGGGGCTTTTTTTCTCTGGCTGCATTGAGAGTGTGTTGTTAGCAGCATCGTATGCACGAGCGTTTGCACAATCATGTGTGCTCGCGCAGTAGATGCACTCCTCTCTGTGACGTATTTTTGCAGTGCCAGTTGTTATCGAGTTTAAGTCGTTAAAGGTCAGTGCTAATTGATTAGTGTGAGTGTGTATTCTAAAGTGCAGCATTTTTAATGTATATCTTTTGTCTTAGTGTGTGCAGTTTAATTATTCATTTGTATTGCAATTATTGTTGGCTCTTTGACGAATTGCTTTTGCAAGCATCTGATAAATGCATAAATGTAGTGTATTTGATATCATGCATGATGTGCATTGCAAAGCATTTAGGAATCATAAAGTTCTGTGTATATATTAATGCATTTTGCATGTAAAATCGAGTTGAATTTGAAGGACAGTTTGTTCCTCTCCCCCATAGGGCACAGCAGTTGGGCAAGCAATTAATTAAAGCTCCATTACAATATATTACCCAGTAAAATAGAGGCAGTGATACAGAAAACCACAGAGAAAGTTTGCACTGGGACAGCGGCAGTATTTCACAGCAAAGCAAAAGGGGAATCACAAAGAAAGGAGGAATTATTTATGCTAAATAAAATAGGAAAAAAGCAGATGGATGCAATGAGGAGGAGAAAAAAAAGTATTGCATGAGAGTTAGAGGACTTGCATAAAAAGCCATCGAGGACACTGTGTCACCAACTGAGGTTTTCTGCTCTCGACAGCAACGCGGCATAAAAAGATAGGGTGAGATAAACAATTGACATTAATAAATAGACTGATGAACAATGAAATATCGTGGAAACGTGTGTTTGGCGGAGGATAGAGGAGGTGGGGGAGGGCTTTTACTGTCTGGCTCAGTCTGTGGCCCCATGTGGCAGTTGCTGCAGCTGGCATGTTAATATCAAAGGCCTATGGGAGGTGGCTATCTGGGAATATTTGTCTGGCATACTAACAGTTTTCTCCCCGTCATATGTCATCTTTATGTCCAGTGTTATACGGCCTCACATATTTATTTCTAAAAGCCTGTGAGATTTCATTGCATGCTCTTGTGATAAAAACTTAGTGCCAGATTAGATTTGGAAACATATATGACTGCAGGAGAATGGAAGCTGCTATTGCTTTCTGAGAAACTTCACACTTGTATATATATTTATATCTCATAGAGAAGTCATTTTAATGCATGCTTTACTGAAGACGTCTCTCGAGGACAAGTTGAGAATGAATAGTGTTAATGAAGACACTTAACAAGGGTAGACGAGTTACGAATCGTTTTCATCGCTGATCATAACTAAGACATGAACAGTGGCGAGAAATGACTCAGAAGCATCTCTTGGGTTCGTGTTAAAGGCCATTGTGTGGTTTACGGTAAAATTCCCCTTGGATACCTCAGCTGTCGATCTCGTCTTAATCTCAGGATAAACGCGATTATCCCACGAAGGGTTGTTCTCAGCTTTGTATCAGCTACGGGGGAGCTTTGAAATGGTTTCCCCCTCCTTTTTCTCCTCCTCCTTGGACGAGTGGCCATTAAAAGCCTGGGATTGGGATTCCCGAGCTGGAATAACAGGCAGCAAAAAGAACCACAGTCAGCAGAGTGGTAGATCGAAACTGAACTATTAAACGCAGGTAATCCAGAGCCACAATGGAGATGTTAGGATCACAGAACTATACGGCACCTTAATCCAGCGCATGAATTTGAGAGATGGATGAAAGCGAGTATTGTACCTTAAAGGGACAGTTCACCCTAAAATACAAGTTCTGTCATCATTTACTCACCCTCATTTCGCTGTATTACTGTCTTTTTAATGTGGGACGCAAAAGAAAGTAAGATCGCCTTTCAAAATATATTTTTTGTCCGCGTGTGTTCAACAGAAGAAAGTAAGTCATACAGGTTTGGAACAACATGAGGGTGAATAAATTATGACAATTTTCATTTTCGGGAGAACTGTGTCTTTAAGTGGGCTTTTAGACTAATTCTAAGCATTTAAAAAGCTTCAAATAAGTTCAGATGATGTTTTGTTCCTTATTATTCAGGTCTATGCCATTAAAATCATAATTTCTGTATTGTGTTGTATATAGGCATATATACAACACATATATTGCATATATTCAAGGCATAACCTTGAAAAAAATTAGGTCACTTTGGAAACCAGTTCTTTCAAAGACTTTTCTTTTGTTGATAACAATGCAGAGTGCTAAAGATGAGTTTGGAGTGACCTGACTAGAGTTGCGTTGCAAAGTTCAGCCGATGTAATTTGTAATAAAGCAATGAAATAAAAGAGAAGCTGGGACTTTCCTGCAAATCCTTTAAGCGCTCACAGGAACATCAGTAACTGTATCCTGGAGGATGCGAGAGCAGAGGGCAGGACTGGGAATTCAAAACCAGGAGTGGAAACCAGGGAACACTTAAACCTCCATCATGGCCCCACCATTATAAAAGACCTTGAGATATAATTATCCTCACTTTGTAGCTTAGCTTTGCTTTTTGCCCACTTTACATCCTAATGAGGAGAATTACCTTCACTTTTAAAATTTAAATAGAAAGGAAATATATATTGTTGAAAGAACATGTTTTTTTTACGTTTGCTCTTAAATGGATAGTTCACCAAAGGAAAAAAAATAGAAAAGTTTGCCATTGTTTACTTAGAAAAATGTTGTGGTCCAAACAACATTGGACCTCTCTGACTTTCAGTTTATGGACAAATGGCATTTTTAATCTTTTTAATGTTTTTGTGTTCATGAGGGAGAGTAAATTATGACAGAATGTAAATTTTTGAGTGAACTTACCCTTCATTTCAAATACTATCTTGTGGAAAGTGAGTATAACTCCAATTCAGGATTATTATTGTTAATATTATCAGTTTATTATTAACTAAAACTAAAACCATAAAAACATTTTCATTACTTGAAAAAAAAACTAACATTAACTGAAAATGTTTTTTTTTGTTGTTGTTGTATTTAAGTTAATGTTTTAGTTCAAATAATGAACATTCTTTTCATGTTTTTAGTTTTAGTGCTATGATCACCCTCTCCAGTGCATATGCAAATATTGTATAAGGACGTGCGATCCTCATTAATGCTATCAGAGTCAAGTTCAAGTTCATTGCCTGTGGGAGTCCCAGCCAGACTGGGAACTTCTTCATCCTCCCCTGTGGACCAGCTCACCCCTTGTAACCCACACCCTATCTGCCCCGTCCCCCCCATCCCTGTGGTTTTGGTGGCGGGCTGGAGGGGGCTCTCCACTGTGTGCCGTTGCTAAGGGAGCGAGAGCTGGCTGGCCCAGCAATGCACTGGAGAAAAGGCCCGCCTGTCAAAGTGTCTGAGGGAAGTCAGGCTGGTTGGCTCACCCCTCTGTATACACACACTCTTATATATACAGCCTGCATGTGTGTGTGTTCCAGACCCTGGGAATGGCAGCAAGCACTTTATATTCATCAGCCCCCCCATCCCACCCCACTCTTGTCGCAGTGACTTTGGTAAACAGCCCCCCTCCTTCCTAAAATGTCTAGTCTACTTCCATCCCATAATCCTTCTCATTGCAACTTCTCATCTAGGAACAATATTTGTGACTCTTGGTAGATGATTGCAGGCTTTTAGGTTTTACGGTGTGAATACACTATACTCTCTTAGTTTAATGTACACCAAAAATTATTTTCCAAACGTTGTGAATAAAACAAAGATTGTTGGCAAACGTTTTACAGGAATTTCAGTTTTTGTACTTCAAAATTGCACATTCAGTTCGGTGTGTTACTTTCTCTTTCTTTGTAATTGTTTGTGAAATTAACCATCAATTTCAGAGTGAAAATTGTTTTTATACCTTTTTTTTCCCCCAGTGTACACACTTTAAAAAGGGTTCTTTATTGGCATTGACGGTTCCATTAAGAACCTTTCACATCCATAGATCCTTTCAATTGCACAAAAGGTTCTTTCTAGTGGAAAAACGTTCTTTAAGTTATTAAAATGTTCTTCACGCTATGAAAAAAATTGTTTATTTTTAAAAATGTTCTTTATTGGCATCAGTGCTTCCATGATGGCTCTGTAAAATTTCCATTCCACAAAAGGTTCTAGTGAAAAAAAGGTTACTAAGATTGGTTCTTCGAGGAACCCAAATTGGTTCTTCTAAAGCATCACTGCTAAAACTCCCTTTTGGAACATTTAAGAATGTTCTTTTTTGGCATCGAAGGTTCCATTTCCATTCCACAAAAGGTTCTTTGTAGGAGAAAAAGATTTTTAAAATGGTTCTATTAATAACTGTTCCCTGTAAGGTTCTTTGGGGAACCAAAAATGGTTCTCTTGTGGCATCGCTGTGAAAACCCCCTTTTGAAACATTCATTTTTAAGAGTGTAGTTCTTTGCACAGTTGGTGGACTGTTGCAACAATATTAAGAACTTTTTAATATGATTGATTCTAGTATAATCAACATAGTGGAGCGCTGTGGTACATAGTGCATTAGAATGTCATGGAGGGCTCCGTTCCCATTACAGTAGAGTGTGGTGAGAACAAGTGAGAGTCGTGTGTGTGTGTGTGTGTTTTCTTGAGGTCTCATTCAAGGCTGAGGGCGAGAATTGAGAATAAAAGGCCAGTGATTTGCATAAGCTGCATGCTGTCTGAGGGTTTTTGGAGGGGTGGTGGGAGCTTGAGGGAAAAAAAAAATATGCGGGAATATAAAAAAAGAGACAGAAAGAAACCCCACATTGTAGAGGTGCAGAAAGAGAGAGGAGGTTTGAATGAAGCAGTGGGTGAAAATTGACAGAGAAAAGGGTCTTGCCAAGTCTCCTGCAGGGATTAAATTGTCCATAAACCTCTCTACATATAATTTGGAAAAACTGGTAATGGCGTTGGTACACATCGTACACAAATTCTAGGGGTGACGGGGTATAGAAAGGTTTCGCACCACTTTTGGAAGCAAATTAAGAATGAGGGATTGTAAACAAATACGGTCAGTGCATGTAAAAGTGTTGTGAAGTTGTATGCATTACCCTTTGCTAAATAACCAAATTTGTTTTACTGACTGCATTATTTGGAGCAATATAAAAATACTGAAAATGTTCTCGAAATGTCATCCACTTTAAAACTATAATGACCACTAAGCTGAATGAACATGATGTTGTAAAATTGTCAAATAACACACACACAAAGGACAGCACAGCATTACCCCAAACTGCAATTTAGATGTTTGATTGTTCTCATTAAAATGAGCTATTGGAAAAGCCACCAAAATGGACTCCAACCTTTCTAGAATCTACAACATTGAGAATATTAGCAGTGTTGCGAATCCATAAATCCACGTCCTATTATTTGGGGTGAAACAAGAACAAAATACAGCTGAAGATGGTGTGTTTGCAGAACATTGTTTCAGTTTACCATATTTGTAGCAGGACTGATTGATCATTCTAAACCGTTTCTCATAGAAGATGACTAGATTTATCTGGAATGGAGTACAGAAGACAGCAGGGCTGTCATTTGCATTTCGGTCAATCAGATATATTCAAGTTGATATTGAAGAGACATTCAAGACATCAAAAACGTCAGTACACTGGATTAGTTTTGGAAGTATTTTTATTTTCCTTTTCAGAAACGTAGAAAACAACTTCAGAGGCTTCGTTGAAAAATCAGACATCTCTTGTGACCATGCAACTCCAGATCTTTGGGTCTATTTCTAATGTTAACATTAATATGGTTTTTAATTTCCACTATTTTGAACAGCACTACACTTACTAACATCAGTGCAGATTTTGTTTTGATTTTGCACATTGTTGTTAATGTTGTCTTTTTGACATTTATGTCATAACAATAAGCCATGTCATATTAATTATTTTCTTTTTCTCTCTAACCAGGCTCCTGGCAATGAAACTGAAAAATCCCCATCGTCGTCATCAGCTACTGGAGAAACCGAGGCCATCCTGCTATGTTTGACTCAAATGGTCAATCACATCACCTCAGGAATCCAGCGTCCAGCATCTCTTCCAGATGGTTCGCTGTGGAAATTAAACAAGCAGATGAGGGATGGTTTAAAATGTGCACTAACTGATTTAACCGGGTGTCTTAAAACCTTTCAGTCTTCAGACAATCACTACTACTGGATGGGCGTGTGGATTTGGGCTGTTCACCCATTTAAATCTTAGATGTTAGAAAACGTGTTGCACAGTCTTATCAGTGCTATATAAACTGAAGAGAATAATGTGGCTTAATGTGTGAAAAGTTTACAATGAGAGTTGATGTTATCGATAGAAATGTCAATGACTGGGATTTTGCATTCCCTATTTTAAATGGACTTTTAATGCTTCTTTGTCTTGCATTAAAGCATATGAACTTTCGTGTTAGGCATTCATTTTTTTATGTTATTGTATTTATAAAATGTTCCAGTTTCAATGGATTTACAGGAAATTGTGCTTAATCCAGATATTTTGTATGGCTACTGTATGTATGGAGTTTAATACAAGAATTATGGCCAGTTTATCATTTGTCTGATTATGTGATTGTATGAAACAAACTTTTCAAACTGCACAAATAAACGACATTAAAGCATTGAGTGAATGGTTGTTGACACTGAAAAAGCCATTTTAAGTTATACTCTATAGAAATGTACTGTAATAGGAGGTGGATGTCAACACAGCTTCACATGTAGTGGCCACAGGCTATTTTGTAACCACCTACTGCAAGACAGCTTGACAGCTCATAGTTCTGGCGCTACTGTCAGCACCTTGGACAGCACATAATAAGCACCTCTCTCATCCATGCAGAAGTCACAAAAAACATATGTGCTGCTCTGGAATGAGTCAGAGCAGTGTGCTTAAAGTGATGTGTTTGTGTTTTTAATCTGTGGGAAGGAGATCAAACGATTTTATATAATTCTGCCAATAGGATTTGCTTGATTGGCAGACATTCTGTCAATGATTGTTTCCATTTACTAAGATTATATGTGAAGCATACATAAGTTGTATCATTTAAAAGATTATCAAAATAGTTAACATATAAAGTAAAACATTATTTTGAGCCAAAATTGAGGGTTCATTTCTGTCTGAGCTGGAATACTCATTCAGCACCTTGACAGCTGATGAGAAATATAGCTACCTGATGTAAAACACTGGTTAAATTACATTAAGCCATAAAAGGATTCACGCACACCTCTCAAGTTAAGATGGATGTCTCCGTGCCAAATCAGACAAGATTTAATCTTCAAGTGAAATTATTTTTAATGGGTGTTTTTCCTCCGCCGTTCAAGAATCACAAAAATACTGGAAGAGTTTTCACTCTCGAGTTCGTTAGCGTATCGTTCGTTAAATGAAGGGTAAACTGGTGATAATGTCGTGTTCTCTGTGAGCAAGGTGAACTCGAACGTTTATATGTCGTATGCTTCAATTGTGATATATTTTATGATCGGCCTGCTTTTACTTCAATCAATATTTAACTTAATCGAAGTTGAATAGTCTATTTAGAAATAAAATTCTCATTCTGTTGCTTCATTCAGTTTTCTGGCGCGTATACAGAAGACGAGCAGATCCTTTTAGAGATTAAATAGATTTTTTTTCTCAGTATCGTCTTCCCACAATATATTGCTGGCAATCGTTAAGTGCGTTGAATAAGGTAGGAACAAATTATGGGTAATGTAGCCTATGTAGCCTACATTAACTATTTTGACCCCCGTTAATGCTGAATGCTTTTTTGTTTGTTTTTTGCCTTTAAGCGGAAAAAATACAGTTTAACAGAGACGCGTAAACTTTTCTCCATTTTGTTACATAATGAAACTCCTTCCCACCAGTACATATCATTTATTATGACGGAATTGAGTTGCATCAATTAAATCAACAAAAAAGAAGGGAAGGAACAATCTGACGATATCAACAGAACACATTCATTTATAATATTTTATAAAATTAAAAAATTAAAAAACACTGAACAACTATCCATCGTATATGCTATTCAATAAACATTTACTGTAAGCAATAAACAACCTCTGTATTAGATTTCCAGCAATCTAAATCTAACAAAAACACAGTGTTCATATCTGGATAAGCCTGTGGAGAAAGAAGAGACTCGTTAGTCGTCGGATATCGAGTTAATATTGTAGGAGAGACCTGGACTGCTGTAACACGGGGTAAGTTGTAACACCATTAGTTTGCAATTAGAAATCAGCTACAGGGGTGAAATCAGCATCATATACATGAGCACCAATCCAGTGAGGTGGAAGTACAAATCGTAAGACTCCGTAAAAATATAGACGATTTACAAGACAAAAAGCATCAAGATGTTCGCGTCTTCTTTATAATTTAGATTGATGAATTATTGTTATGTTCATGTCATCTGAATCAGCAGGTTCTCTTGTTTAATTTGAAATACACACAAGCTTTTATTTAAATGTTTAAAATCTAAATTTTATATCTGACCAGACAGGAAGAGTTGTAACACTTCCCAATGCACTTCTACTGGACCCAGACATATTGAGGACAATGCCTTACACACTCAACACACGTCTGTTTTTTTTTTTTTTTTTTACAGTTATTAGCATGTGTTTGTTCCCAAATGTATTTGCGGTTTTGCTTTAAATTGTCCTATTTTTGTTACATTAAAATGCTTAAAATGTCCCTGTTTTCTATTAATGTTTTAATCCACCATGGCAGTTGTAACAGTATAGCACTCTTTGTACTTGACATTAATTGCACAGTGTAGGTTGTACATTTTAAAACAACTTTTATTTTAAAAAGATTATAAATATGTTTATGTGCAGATACATTGTCTCAATGTTATGTTAGAGCCAGCAAAAAAAAAAAAAACTACATGTTTACGTACATAGCTATCTAAATGGGGACATAGGCCTAGACTTTGCATAGACTATTGTTTTTAGGGGCCAAGCACCGAAGGTGCTTAGGCACCTATTGTATCCGTTGGCGTTATTCTTCTTCTTCTTCCGCTCTTGAGTCTATGGCAGCCCATAGAACCGCTTGCGGGAAAGTTGTGGAATTTGGCACACTGATAGAAGACAGTCCCAACATTAACCAAAGCAAATTTGGAGTCTCTAAATCAAACTCTCTAGCGCCACCACTTGTCCAAAGTTTCACTCATGTTTATGCTAATAACTTTTGAACCATAAGGCACAAAAGGAAAATTTTCCTCTGAATCCTTGGCTCATGCCGAGTCGAATGAACACCAAAATTAAAAAATCGCAAGGTTTAGTTTTTTCGCTATTTTTAATTGTTCGTAAAACTTACTTTTTCGAACTCGTCCTAGACAGTTTGTCTGATTCTCACCAAAATTGGCTCAGATCATCTTCAGACCATGCTGGCAAAAAGTTATGGAATTCAAGTTGATTCGGCCAACCGTTCTCGAATAACGCACGAAAGAATTCTACGAAAAGCACGTAAAAATGGATGTGAGGCTATCCCCTTGTCCAAATACCCACACTTGCGGTCTTGGCCACTTGAGACCACGTGAGCGCGACAGGAAGTAAGTGCGCAAGACTGTCCCAGGTCTTAAAAATACCAAAGCGCAGTGCCCTTAACCCACACTATCTGGTAGCTGTAATAATAAGGTTTTAAGAACATTAGTAAATACACAGACTTTCCCTTCTAAAGTAAAGAAGAGACTCCTTGTCTATGATTTTCCTGAAGATAAAGTGGTTCAAATTAGAACAAGATTTCTCTCTTTTCCACTTCTACCAAAGGTAAAAGAAGTTCAGTTTAAAATTATTAACGATATTTATCCCTGTAATGAGTTCCTCAGACACAGGTTTAATTTGGATTGTAATGGATGCACCTTTTGTGAAGCAGAAATAGAGTCATTGGAACATTTGTTTTATTTATGCAAATTCTCAAAAAAATTATGGGATGACCTCTATGCTTGGTTAAGTTTGAAGTATGTAATACCTGACTTTGATTTTAAAACTGTAAAATATTTGTCCTTTTGTTGGAATTGTGATGTTGAATTTTTGGTTAATAATATTGTGATTTTGGCCAATTACTTCATTCATAAATGCAGATTCTTTAATAACCCCCCCACTTTATTACTTTTCCAGAAAGATTTAATGGTCTTCTTCAAATCTTTAAAGCTCATGCGTCATAAAAAATTAATTAAACTATGTAATCTTTTGAAGGTATTTTTTGATGATTAAGCCCCTTGTATTGTAGGGGGGGTTTGTTTCTTTTTTTTTTCCTGTATTTATTTGTTTTTCTTTCTTACTTTTCCTGTTATGCATTTTTTGTTATGCTGCTATTTGGACTTCTTTGAAGTAATGACAAGTTGTACACACACACGTCTTCATGCTCACTTGAACACTTGGGCCAAATACGTCATATAAGTAGTCAAGTGGTCAGGTGCAAAGACCACAAGTGTGTGTATTTGGACAAGGCATTTATCTCCGCAACGGTTTGGCGTATTGAGACCAAACTTGTTGTGTGTTATAACAAACATGACCTTAGTCAGGTATTATTATATTGCCCCCTAGTGGTCAGGAGATATGAAAAATGCATATTTTTGCTTATAACTTCTGAATGGTTTGGCCAAAAATAACAAAACTGTTTTTTTTTTTCCCCATTACAGCCATTTTGGGCGTCGGCCATTTTTTATTTTGTAGTAAAATGCTATATTTTACGAGAATAATAAGTGTATCCTTATTAAGAGGAAATCTGTGTTTTTTTCAGGACTGGATGGACAAAGGTGTCTGGTCCATTGTACACATTATGGATGGGGATGGACATTTTCTTGGTTATGATGATTTTTGTGAAATATACAATATTATTTGTACTCATTTTACGAACACAATAACGTATCTTTACGAAACTTGGTATGGGTCATCAGCACGATGCCCTAAAGGAGCCTGTGAAGTTTCGAGCCAGCTAGTCGCCACCTAGTGGTAAAATTAAATATTCACATGCTTATAACTTTGGGTGTGGTCTGGTCGACTTATTTTCACAGGAGTTAAATACACAGACTTTCCCTTCTAAAGTAAAGAAGAGACCCCTTGTTCATGATTTTCCTGAAGATAAAGTGGTTCGAAACCGTTACTCCGATCGACACGAAACCACCGTAGGAAATTCGGAATCCTAGCGTGCTGGCTACACGCTAATGCCCAATTGCCAAAATTTTGATAGTAAGTGGCAAATAAATGCAAACAAAGTCGACCATCAGTAATTTTTTCTGTTCTCATATATAAAAATGTATATAACTCCAAAACAAAATTAGATATTTTCACCAAATTTGACACACATGTATGGGCACACTCTAAGGACACATAAAAAAAATGGGTGGGATTGTTCCTCTTGGTGGAGCTATAATTGAACAAAACATGAAATTGCCATTGACTACAATAGAGTATTATGATATAAAATGCTATATTTCACGAATGCATTGGTGTACCATTATGAAACTTTGTATGTACCATCGAGACCATGACTTGAAAGTACTCAAATAGGTTTGAGACAGTGCCACCTTGTGGTCAAAAGTTATAATTTTCAAATAAATGCTAATAGCTTTCTGTGAATTTTGCCTATTGTAATGAGACTGGTATTAATAGATTCC